ATATACACTTTTTAAATTGTAAATATATATAGGTAAAAAATGTTTGCCATTTCAATAATCTTCACATTTACAGTTTAGTGACATTAGATATGTTCATCGTAAGTGTCCTTAAAATTTTTTATTTAAAAAAATAGTTAAGTATGAAAAATTTCTATAGATTTGCTTTCTTTTTGCCTCTCTAAAATCTGTGTTAATGATTACCCGTTGAAGGTACCTATGAAACTGGCCATATAGGTTGACTGTTATTTTTCCTATTATTAATCAATGCTGTTCCCCTCTCTTCCAATTTCTCTAGGCATTTCAGTTAACCTCTCGAAGATGGCTGAACCTGCAGGAATACCAGAGCAAGAAACTGATGTCTGACAACGGAGTGAAAGTTCAAAGATTCTTTGTGGCAGACACTGCGAATGAAGCTCTCGAGGCAGCTAAGAGACTAAGTAAGCTAATTAATAACAGCTGAAATACACTTTCCCAAATTAGTGAATTCACAGGTAGCAGTCTCCCACTAGTTATGAAGCATAATTAGTGGCTTATACTAATAGTGACAGATGCAATTGAGAACTTTGAATAGAAAAAAGCCAAAAAAGCCCAATTAGAAAAACTTACTATTTCACAGGAAATAGCAGCATATGGGATGTCACTCCACAGTCATTTTTCTGAGTTTGTCTAGTCACCATTTAAGCCAGCTCTCTCATCTGTGGTTCAGTGGCTGGGGGAAATATGGATGAAGGATATAGAGTGTCAATGGCAAGCTCATTGTAGGATAACCCAGACCAGAGACTTGGCATCCTTCTTTTAGCTTTTTAGAATATGGTGAGAGTTCCCTCTGAGTGACTGGGGGAGAACAAAGCAAAGAGCGTGCGTTTTAAAGTCAAGTTGAGTTTGGGTCAGTGTTTTGCCCTCCATTACCAGCTCTGTAACTTTGTGTAAGTGCCTTCCCCTTTCTGCAGTTCAGTTTCCTTATCTGTAGATCAAGACTAATAGTGTTTATCTCCCCGACTGTTGTGAGTCTTTAATGGAGAGTGTACACGTGTAAACTACCTGTTACATGGTTGAAAATCTAACCAGTTTCCTTAGTTATAGATTGAAAAATTAGGATTTGGGTCCTGCTTTTTCAGTGAGTATTCCTCTGGGGGCCCACACACTCTCTTATCAGTCTGTATCAGCACTGTCCAAAAGAAATATTATGTGAGGCACATTTGTATTTTTAAATTTTTCCATAGTCACATTAGGAAAAGTAAAAAGAAACAAGTGAAATTAATTTTAACAATAGATTTTATTTACACTAATATATCCAAAATACCATCATTTCAGTATATACTTAATATTAAAAAAAAAAAAAAAATCAATGGGCTATTTTACATTCTTTTTTTTTTTGTTTGTCCTAAGTCTTTGCAAATCTAGTTTACATTTCACATCTCCAGCACATCTCAATTCAGACTAGCCACATTTCAGGTGCCTAGTAGTCACATGTGGCTAGTGGCTACCATATTGGATAGCATAGATCTGGACTTTGGAACAGTTAGCATACTTCACCTGCAACAGTGGAAGCAGTTA